TTCATGCATTGAAACAGCCTCCAGTGTTGGAGCCACTAAAGTCAGAAATGCTGAGGAGGCCTGAATGAGCAGAGGGCAAATATCTCAGAGGGCGAGTGAGATTACAGAGATAGAGAGGGATGAAGGGATGGAGGCATCTTAAAAATGTGATGCCCATTTTAAAATCATTACCTGAACAGGAGCCAATGTAGGTTAGCAAGTACAGGGATGACGGGTGAGCAAGACTTTGCTTCAGAAAGCACACAGGCAGCAGAAATTTGCATAGACTCAGAGATTTACAGCATGGAAACAGGCCCTTCAGACCAACTTGTCTGTGCTGCCCAGTTTTCATAGTTAATCCAGTCACATTTGCCAGCTTTTGATCCACATCCCTACATACTTATCCATCCATGTAGCTGTCCAAATGTTTCTCAAATGACAGAATTGGACTTGCCTCCACCACTACCTCTGGCAGCCCATTCCAGACTCTCACCATCCTGTGTGTGATAAAAAGTTGCCCCCCAGGACCCCTTTGTTTCTCTCCCCTCTCACCTCAATCCTACGCCCTCTAGTTTTTAAGATTCCCTTACCATGGGGAAAAACTGTTGGCCATCTACTTTATCTATGCCTCTGATGATTTTAACAACCTCTACAAGGTCACCCCTCAGTCTCCTACGGTCCAGGGAAAAAGTCCCAGCCTATCCAGCCTCTCCTTATAATTCAAACCTTCCAGTCCAGGTAGCATCCTAGTACATCTTTACTGCGCCCTTTCCGATCTGGCTTTTCCGCAATGCAGCGGGCAGGCTGAAAGTGAGAGGTTGGCCAGGAATACACTGGAATTCAGCGTAACCACAGCATGGGCGTGGATGAGGGTTCCAGCAACAAATGAGCCATGTTTCGCTGGTGATGGGCACCATTATGGAGATTGAAATGTATGGTACTGGTAACATGCAGCTTTGGGAGGTCATTCCAGGGTGAAATATGAGATCAAGGCTGTGAATTGTGTAGTTCATAGCCTCAGGCAGTTCCCACCGAACGGACAGACTTGATTGTTGGGGAAAGGAATTTATAGATGTACTTGAAAACAAAGGCTTTAGTCTTTGTAATATTTAAGTGGGGGAGAACTTCTGCTTCTCCAGTCCTGGATGGCTGATAATTTAGTATAAGTGATAGAATAGAAAGAGGGATGGTGGTAAGTTGGAGCTGGGTGTTGTAAGTGTATAGGTGGAAGATAATGAGGTGCTTTTTGATGATGTCACCCAGTTGCAGGATATACAGCAGAAATAAGAGGGGCCAGGGATAGATCATTGGGGCACACAAAGTTTGAGGGCTGGAGGTGGAGCAGTAGTTTAGAAAGACAATGTTCTGTCAAAGGTTTATTTAATGATTGGTGAGGACAATGTATTTCAATGTTGAGAGGGACAATGTGAGAAGACAGAAATACTAAAAAATATCATCTAACAGTTGGGCAGTTACTGACAACGAGGTCCAACAGAAGACAATTAGGAGGATGGGTAAATTGTAGAATGCCTACAGTGCGGAAGCAGGCCATTCGGCCCAGTTGAGTCCTACCGATGCTCCGTAGACCATCCCATCCAGACCCAACCCCCCTATCCTATCTCTGTAACCCTGCATTTCCTATGGCTAACCCACCTGAGCCTGCAGATCCCTGGACACTATGTGACAATTTAGCACGGCCAATCCACCCTAACCTGCACATCTTTGGACTGTGGGAGGAAACCGGAGCACCCAGAGGAAACCCGACGCAGCACAGAAATTGGAGAAAAGATGCAAGTTCAGGGTTTGGACCAGAAGCGATTTCAGAGGTAGCCTCATGACAAAGAATAGGCACCTTTTGGAGATTCAGATGCAAGAGACGGCTGCTCCAAAAAGGTATTGCTCTTTGATGGGAATGATAAAATAAATGCAACACTTTACGTGTTCAATGCAAAGCTAAACTTATTTGACTTTTATGCAAAATACTAGCACCTATAACTGAAAACGGAAATTGCTGGAAAAGCTCAGCAGATCTGACAGCGTCTGTGGAGAGAAATCAGAGTTAACGTTTTGAGTTGGGTGACTTGACTTTGACTTGATAGAGGTGTACAAGATGATCAAAGGTACAGATAGAGTGGATAGCCAGAGACTTTTTCCTAGGGTGGAGGTAGCTATTATGAGGGGGCATAGTTTTAAAATGAGTGGACGTAGATACGGGGAAGACATCAGAGGTAGGTTCTTTACTCAGAGAGCGGTAGGGGCGTGGAATGCATTGCCGGAGAGGGTGGTGGAGTGGGCCTCATTAGGGGCATTTAAGCAGCTATTAGATAGGCATATGGATGATAGTATAAGGTAGGGGTGGAGGTCAGATAGACCTTAGGTTTAGGGTAAAAGTTTGGCACAACATCATGGGCCAAAGGGCCTGTACTGTGCTGTACAGTTCTATGTTCGAGTGACCCTTCCTCAGAACTGAGGAAAGTCAAAACTGATTTCTCTCCACAGACGCTGCCAGACCTGCTGAGCTTTTCCAGCAATTCCTGTTGTTTTTGTTTCTGATTTACAGCATCCGCAGTTCTTGCGGTTTTTATCTGGGACTGGAATGTGTTGTTACCATCAGCCTCCTGGCCGTGGGGTTCAGTCCCGGACGTGCTCGGTAACATCACTGTCGGTCAGCTGTGACGGGGCTGGTGTGTCAGCAGGTGGGATAACCGAGTGAACCGCTTCCCACACACCGTGCAGCTGAACGGCTTCTCCCCGGTGTGGACCCGCTGGTGCCTCCGCAGGTTGGACGACGTAGTGAAGCCCTTCCCGCACACCGTGCAGCTGAACGGCCTCTCCCCGGTGTGGACCCGCTGGTGTTCACTCAGGTCAGACGATCTCCTGAACCCGGCGCCGCAGTGAGAGCACCGGAAGGGCCTCTCCTCGTTGTGGACCCGTTGGTGGTACGCGGCTTCCCAGGAACTCTTGAAGCACTTCTCGCAGTCCGGGCACTGGAAGAGCCTCTCCCCGGTGTGCACCCGCCGGTGGGTTAGCAAGTGGGATGAGCGGGTGAACCGCTTCCCGCACGTCGGGCAGTCGAACGGCCTCTCCCCGGTGTGGATCCGCCGGTGCTCAGTGAGTTGGGATGACCTCCTGAAGCCGGCGCCGCAGTGGGAGCACCGGAAGGGCCTCTCGTCGGTGTGGACCCGCTGGTGCCGCATCAGCTCGCCGGAGCTCTTGTAGCTCTTGCCGCAGTCGGTGCACTCGAAGGGCCTGTCGTCGGTGTGGACCCGCCGGTGCCTCAGCAGGTTGCAAGACTGGGTGAACCCTCTGCCGCACTCGGGGCAGGTGAACGGCCTCTCCGCGACGTGAACCCGCCGGTGTTTCAGCAGGCAGGACGACTGAGCGAAGGCCTTCCCGCACTCGGCGCAGGCAAACGGCCTCGCCCCGGTGTGAGCCCGCCGGTGGGCGGCGAGCTCGGACGGTCGCTTGAACCCAGCACCGCAGTCGGAGCACCGGAACGGCCTGCTGTCCGCGTGCACGCGCCGGTGGCACGTCACCTCCCGGGAGCTCTTGAAGCGCTGGCTGCAGTCCGGGCACTGGTGAGGCCGCTCGTCGCTGTGGACGCGCCGGTGGCTCAGCAGGTCGGATGACTGAGCGAAGCCCTTCCCGCACACTGGGCAGGTCAGCGGCCTCTCCCCGGTGTGGACCCACTGGTGCCTCAGGAGGTGGGCCGACTGAGCGAAGCCCTTCCCGCACACCGAGCAGGTGAACAGCCTCTCCCCGGTGTGGCTGCGTCGGTGGGTCTCCAGCCGAGACGGGTATGTGAAACCTTTCCCGCAATCCCCGCATTTCCACTGCTTCTCCCCGGGCCGGCGGTACATCGTTACTTCCGGGTCAGACTTCCTGCTCCCTGGGGTCGCTGCCTGAAACGCAATGACGTTCAGCTCGAAACTCCGGCAGCTCCTGACTCTCAACTCCAATCCTTCTAATGCCCTGTGAAAGTAAAACAGAGAAAAATGATGAAAAGAAATAACAAGGTGTAGAGCTGGATGAACACAGCAGGTCAAGCAGCATATAAGGGGCAGGAAAGCTGACGTTTCGGGCCTAGACCCTTCTTCAGAAATTCAGCAGTTCCTACTGTCTCTGAGATAGCAGGAACTGCAGATGCTGGAGAATCCGAGACAACGAGGTGCAGAGCTGGATGAACACAGCAGGCCAAGCAGCATCATAGGAGCAGAAAGGCTGACATCTAGGCCCGAAAGATGTAGAGCTGGATGAAGACAGCAGGCCAGGCAGCCTCAGAGGGGCAGGAAAGCTGACGTTTTGAGTCTGGACCCTTCTTCAGAAATTCAGCAGTTCCTACTGTCTCTGAGATAGCAGGAACTGCAGATGCTGGAGAATC